TTCGGGACCGAAGGTTGCCTCCGGCACTGGGCTGCCATATCATGAAAGCCTTACCAAAAAATTCGCAAGAGTTGAAGTATTTCTACGGATTCCTTTACAGCGGAGAGCTGTCCTCAACCGTAGTACCACACGCGAAGAAGTGCATCAGAAAGTAAAGGCATCATTTCCAATTTTGACAGGTCCTTACCATGTATCGTCACAGGATACATTCTATCCAATACGCCCGGAAAGTGGGGCCTGCGACACCCCACGTTCCTGCGGTTATGCATGGAATAGCTCATTCCTGTCAATGATTTGGAAGAAAACAGCAATCAATAAATTCAGCGGCTTAGGGTTAGCAAGCCAGATATTACACGATGGTAACTGCCCTAGCCTTCCCACAGCCGATTGGTGAAAGGGACAACTCATTCAATATTGCAAGCACAGCCCCATGCAAATCAATGGCCCCGAAGGCCGATGATACGGCATGTAAGGCGCTGCGTCACGAAATATTAAAGGCCTCCAGCATATACGATATGCCAAAATAGAGCAGCAACGGTCTTGCATTAACCAAAAAGACCCCATAAATCTGTCTTTTAGTAACTCAGCCGACAACGGCGGCGATGGGACTAAGACCGCAGTGGCGGATCGTTGACCAACCACTTCCCCGCAAGCTCCAGCGATTGCGGGAGCGACGCACGGCTCTTGAATACACCACCGGCTCGTGTCCGGTTCCCCTGCCAGCACAGCAAATATTCCCCAGCGTCCTCGCGAAGAGAGAATTTCCAACACAAACCCTCATTCCTGTATTTATTGTGAAACATTACCACAATGCAGGTAAGTCGACACAATCCAATAATTATCTGACTAGACAGGCTGTTCTTGTGGGCTATGTACAATTCACCCGCGCGTCTGTCCGCACGCAGCGCATTACTGCATGCGGGATGGGGGCCTCACGAGCGCGTCACAGTACCCTCTCGGCCGGCGACGCGGGCACCGTCCTGCATGCATGCACGCACACACCCACACACACGCGCACGCGCACCTATCGACTCACACCTAGCGAGGACGGTCTGCCCGGCGCCGGCGCGCTGCCGGTAGTCTGATTGATGCCCACGGCAGCTGCAGGGGGAGGGGGGGGGGGGGGGAGCGACGGCAGGGATTGGGCCTGCTGAGCCTGCAGGCAGGGATTGGCAGCATCTTGAAGTGTAGGGCGGGGCTGGCGCCCCCCAGGTGCACGCGGGGAGACAGACGTCGCCCCGCGACGCAGGCACGAACTGATGTCGCTGTGACGCGGGCGCGGACCGGCGCCCCCACGTGCCCGCGGGCAGGCAGTGACGCCCCACGTGACGCCGCTGTGGCACCACCCTGTGACGCAATCGGGGCTGGAGCCATCCTAAAGCTGCCACAGGTCATGGGCGGGGCACCACCACAAGAGCTAGATTTGGGTTGGCTAGACGCTGACGTCATCACTGGATCCGTATCACGGGGAAGTACTTGTGGGAGGCGAAGTCGAATAGCGGCGAGCGCGCCCGCTCGTGGCCACCAGCTAGGATCTTCGCCACCACGTAGTTGGTCTTTGCTACCCTCGTCAGGGTAGACACCTGGTGGCAAGAGCGCGTGTGAAAAGACGCTCCGTTATACCTACTAACTAGCTTTAACTTTACATTAATACTTTGTGAATGCAGATGATAAAGAAAACAAAATCGGCACTTCGAAGATGCCACAGAAAAATAAAGTCCCTGGTGCGATATAACCGATATACATACTGCGCGAGAAGAGTGCGCAAAATATGGCGACGTTTGTTATGAAACAATAACATCATCAAACAGCTTAGGATGCACCCTTGCTAGTGTGCTCAAGTCAAACTGTTCTGAGCAACTTATGAAGCACATTTATGTTCCTCTGACACGTCGACCCCGCTTCCACAGTCAACTGTGCCTCGAGCAGAGACCATAGCCGTACCTCTGAATCGTTGGCCGGCAACGTCTCCAGCAAGTTCCTGGCTTGGTGAAAGCATCGGCAGGCGTCCGAGTACGCCACGGCCGCTCGGTTCTGCGGAGAAGCAGGCCGCCTTACGATCAGGCTGCCTCCGACGACACGCCCGGGGCGGGACCCGCAAGAGCGGCGCCCGGGCGCAGGGTACGCACCGCTGCAGCGTCAAGTCTCAGGCAAGAGCAGGCCAAACTTTGCTGAAGAACGGCTTAATTCACCATCCCTTGCTACGCATATCACAAGCACTACCTCATCTGATAAAGAACGCATCTGTTCGAGCACGAAACGCATCGGATCACACCGGTCCGGTAAAAACACACTGGGGCGGGATATCAGCGCGCCCACGGCCGCGCCGTACCCACCTGGTCGGGTAGCATGCTGGCCATGTGCCGGTACTGGCCGTACTGGACAGGCGGCGGCGTCGCCACCACGTTGAACGGCGAGAAGCGGTGCTCGTACCGCACGCGCTCGTTGTCAAACTCGGCGTGCGGCCGTTGCAGCCGACCCTCCTCCTGCAGACCCACGCAGGTCTGAAACAGGGCGGCGGGCCGGCGGTCAGGTGACGTCAGACGCTCCCTGCCGAAGGCCGCGGCGCGGCTCCCGCAGCACTGCAGGTCCGCACAGCACCGAGAAGGCGCGGGTCCCGCAGAACTACAGGTCCACACAGCGCCGAGAAGGCGCGGCTCCCGCAGCGCTGCAGGCCCGGACAGCACCGAGAAGGCGCGGCTCCAACAGAACTGCAGGTCCACACAGCACCGAGAAGGCTCCCGCAGTACTGCTGGTCCACACAGCACCGAGAAGGTGCGGCTCCCGCAGTACTGTTGTTCCACACAGCACCGAGAAGGTGCGGCTCCCGCAGCACTGAAGACCCACACAGCACCGAGAAGGCGCGGTTCCGCAGCACTGCAGGTCCACACAGCACCGAGAAGGCGCGGCTCCCGCAGCACTGAAGACCCACACAGCACCGAGAAGGCGCGGCTCCCGCAGCACTGAAGACCCA